GGAAGCGGCTGTTCGACGGCTTCTGAGGAACTGCACAGGGGCTGCTGGAGGAGAGCGGCACCGTGGCGAGCTGAGCTATTTGCAGGCACGACCGAAATCTTTCTTTCTTTTTTTTTTTCCCTGAGGTCTCAGAGCGTGGGCATGTGCATGCAGGCTCGCCCTGGGACTAATCTTAATCAGTTTGTGCTCCTCAGTTATGCAAAACGTATTCATTTCCAGCTGAACAGAGACAGGCACACTTCCCCTGATCGGCCGCAGCAAGAGCTGAGGATGTGCTGCTGGCTGTGACCGCTGGCGTTGCCAAGGTGCCCTGAATTTAACTGCGTTTGCAGAGAAGACTGTCTGGAATATTTCTCTGGAAATCTCCCCTGCCTGCCCCAGCCTCCCGCCGCTGAGCATGGCAGCTGATGGCTCATGCTCAAGGGCAGCTTCCAGAGTGCTTAAATGGAGACCTGGTGTTTGCTGTTGGGTTTTCTAATGGCCTCAGGCAGACAAAACACCACTTTAGGCTCTTGGGCCTCTGAATTTCTTCCCTTCCATTTAACCTTTTTGGCAGCTGTAAAGCAGAAATCCATTTTCCTTCTGTCAGGGTTGGTTTGGTTAATTGACTTGCAGGTTTAGCTGATAAAGCTCCCTAAAACGTAATACATTTTGTCATACTTAAACAAAAAGGGAAGAAATCAATACAGGCTGACATAATGGGGCTACTTCTCATCTCAGAAAGAGATGTTATCTCTCGTGGTCTGACCACATTGAGTACAGCTCGAACACTGGCCTTTCTCTGCCTTTGTCTCTCTCCTCTTCCACCCCCCCTCCCCTTTCCAGTCCGGGTGCTTCAGCCTTGCAGGGACCAGCATGGCCAAGGCTGCTCCTCCTACTGCTGCAGGGAGCACTCTCCATCCCACCCCTCCTCCTTCCCCAGGCAGGAGCACCCTGGCCCCAGGCTGTTGTCTTGCCTGTGCTGCTCAGATGTTTTCTGGCACCTCCCAGAGGGCAGAGCACCAAATCTCCTGAAACTCGGGGTATTTAAAAGTTGTGACTACAACTAGGAGCGACACGTTAAATGCCGCACTACTCTTTCCTTGCTATCCGCTGCTGTGCACAGCCCAGATGGTGATCCCTGGGACCGGTCCAGTGTGGCCTTTCCTTGGTCGATGCGGTGGTTACACGTGAGGGCAGCTGCACAGGGGCTGTTTGGCTCTTGGGAGCCTGTCCTCCCGACACCGTTGCAGCTGGGGTGCATGGGGTGTCTCATGGCAGGGCTTTTATTTCAAGACACTGTTATTTCCAGACGCTTGGACCACCAGTGCGTGAGATGTCGTCTTCCAATAGGACTGAGTCCAGTCCCCTGACCTTCATCCTCACCGGCATCCCCGGTCTGCCGATGAGCAGCTACTGGATGGCATTGCCTCTCTGCTGCCTCTACCTCCTCATGCTCCTGGCGAACTGCACCTTGCTCTGGATGATAAAGACAGACCACAGCCTCCATACACCTATGTACTATCTCCTCTCCATGCTGTCCATGGCAGACCTGGGCCTGTCTCTCTCCACTCTGCCCACCATGCTGGCCATTTTCTGGTTCCAGTCC